ATTAAGGCATACCGAGTGCACTCTGAGTACAACGAACGCCAATCCGAACTCAGCCATAGTTAACAGCTGTCAACTCAGCTGTTATATGCCGCGCCTGCGCAGTTTAAAAGTGCGCTCAAGTTGCCCATTAACTACTAATGTTATCAACTTGGTGTGACAACTCGAGTGACAGATAAATAAACACAAATACTTTGGTTTAGCAGCTTCCTAAATTTTGTTATCATCAACAACTTCAACTACTTGGCTAGTTTCTCGTCTGACTCTAAGATTCGGTTTGAATATTAAAGAAAGTAACGGCGTCGTTACGTTTAAACATATTATTTAAACATCTAGTGGGTATATTCTGGCCACAATATTTAATTATTTGTGAATTAAAAATTAAAAAGATTAAAACTAATGTTTTATAGATAATTTGGTTTACACTCGGTTATTTTACATCTTTAATTCAGAATCGCCGCTAGAGAAACGTTTCAAAAAACGTGGCAGCACGTAAAAGAAAAATCTAAAATGTCCTCTGGGTCTTAGACCAATATTTCTATAGTTGGTACTATTTTTCATATCAATAGGTTTCGTACAAATATAACAATTTCGTGCGCTCCTACGTAAAAATTCAATCGACCAAAGTAATTAATTAGCTCTTGGAAATAAAATGAAATTCAAACGAAATACAATAATCACGCATTATAACCGTTTTGAGAACATTAGAACATTAATGTTGTAGTTATTTCAAGGAGGAAACATTCTCATAACATAACCCGTAATAGATTCAGACGTCACGTATTAATTTAACATAAATCTCAGCGGCACAATAAATCTATTAAGGACTACTAGGCAATACCGTTTGCAGTGATTGTTGTAATGTTATGTTGCAAACTCAAATTCCGTACAGTATTCTTGCTGAATATTCAAAGAATAATTCCAATACTGTTTTATTGAATTAGTAGTTTTAAATTTCTTTATACAGGGTGGTCCTAAATTATATCTATACCACAATTGCCAGAGCTGAGAGCACGTACAAAAATAACTTTTTCATTAAAATTGTTTCAAAAACTGAATATTGAGGGAATTATTATTGTATTCATAGAACACTCCAGATCTTTCTTCCCGTAGGAATTTCATGACTATGTTAATATAATCTAAAATTACACGTTAACTACTACTTTAATTCTCTCGAAAATGGCGAATAGTCCTAATTAAAGAGATAGTAGATATCTATTCTAAACGGCTTAAAATAAAAGCAGCAACAGACAGAGATGGGTTCAATGTTTTAAATAATTTATTTTCATGTTTATAACGAATTATTGAGGAAGCTTCTATTCAAATTTGTAGTCACAGATAGATAAATTAAAAGTCAACCAACGCTATGATATATTCTAATTTTTTTATTTTTTTTTAAGTCTAGCCTGTGCAGATGTGCTTATACAGGTGTACCGGAGCGTGTATTGAAATAGACCTGTGCAGGTTTTGAACCTGTACAGGCGACCGGTACAAGATCGAAAATCAATTCTTTTCAGTGACACCGTGTACGGTAAACCTGTGCATGTGTTGAGTTTATTTTTCCTTATTTTGTAAAAAGGGCACAAATTACCCGCCTATTAAAAATACTGTCAATGTGAATTTTAAGAATTTTGTAAGTTGTCAGTAATAACGTCGAAAATATATATTGCACAGCATTTTTGTTATTTCTCATCAATTATTTCTCGTCAGCATGCGTGTGTGTGTCTTCCGGTCACTTGCGCAGATCGATCAAGATTAACGGAAGGCCGGTGCATCCAGTTTAGTACAATTGTAATAGATCTAGTACATTCTCCATTGATATAGAATACAGAGATGTCATGACGATACTAAAAGTGTACGCATTTTTGCATTACAATTTTACGTCATATTCACACCCAAGCTTATGAACCTATAGTCGTCTAAGTCGTCATTTTGATTACACTTTTCCATCACTCAAGGTGCGTCCACTTGTCATATCGCAAAATAGTGATTATGTCGTCTTACTTCATTCCATCTCGATGACTTCTCAAAGAATCTGGTATCTACTTTAGTAGACTTGAAGCTAAATCTAGTACTTTTTCTTTCTCTGGGTATGTTGTCATTTGTCACCTATAAGTAGGATGTTTGTTTATGTACATGTGTTTGTTTTGGGCGGATTTTAAATTTGTGATTTTTTAAACTGTTTTTAGATAATATTCTTATTGTAATAGTGGTTTTGAGTTTCATTTAGTGTTAATTTAAGTTTATTTCTCTTGTTGGAAATATTCACCTATTGTTTGGTACAAGAACATCTAGAAATATCTATTTACTAAACCCACGACATGTTATGGGGTTTAAAGTACATTTCAGGTACCAAATGTTTATTATTGAAAAATTATTTAAAAATCTTACTATCCTTATCCTTATATTAAGAAGTGAATTGTGTAGTACGGTGTATACATGTAAATGGTAATAAAACCGTCACAAAACAGATTACAGTTTGATTCTAAACAAAGTTTTGCAAAATTACAATATTGTGAATTTGTAGATATCCATTTATCATAAGAAACAAAATTTTACAACTTGCACTTTGAAAATAATGAATACTTCAGTTTTGATTTTGACATTAACACCATATAGATTGCAATTTGCTGGGGACTTTTTTGTAGATTTCATTTTTAATATAAACACTATCACATACTATAAGAAATAAACAAATTTAAAGCTAAAAAGTAAGAAAAAACTCGAATTGTAATTGATACAAATTAAAATTTAAACAATGAACACGAACGCCATTGTTGCCAAATGATAAACTGATTTTAAAACAAAAGGTCTTATTCCAAAGACATTACAATGTCTTTGTCTTATTCACTTCTTCAAGAGCTAAAATCCGACGACGTAGCGAAATTTTGCTACTTCTGGCAACCCTGAACGATATCCTACTTACAGGGACCTTCTACATCTTTCCTCCAGAGGGCGTATCACTTAGCTTGAATCGCGAATTGGGGGTGAAGGGGTTTGTTAAACCGTGACGAGTATAATATTCGCTCCGTGCGAAGTCATGGAAAGGGAAGCAAAAGCGATACTAGCGCTAGCTGCGGATAATTCGTGCATTTTAGGGGGATATTTTGTAATTTTGGCATATCAAATACACGTATACATTTTACTTTTTTCAAAAAAGTAGGTAAAAACAACACAATAAGCAACCGGAGTTGCTGTGTTGAAAATTGTACAAATACTAGCAAAAAAAAACAGTGAAACTTATATAACAAATTTCACTAACAAAGTGGAAATTAAATCAAAGAAATAAATGGATAGGTGTACAATAAGAAGAAAAATTACCTTTATTTTTGTGATAATAACAGTAATGCTGGAAATAGTAGACATCAGAAACTAGAAAGTTTTTAAATAAACAATAAATTATCATTTTACGATGTTCTTTAATATCCCTTTATTCTTAAATGTTCATTCAGCAAGGACTAGATTTCAAGATTTCTGCCGTTGATTATAATATTTGGCTGGTATGCAATTTTGTGACTTACTGATCGAAAACCAGTTTTAATAATTCATTCTATGTTTTCTTTAGAACAAAAATGAAAATATAAGTAGCGATCCTTTTTATACACGCTATTATAAATGGTTTCTTCAATGACAACTTATTAGACTTAGGCAACTTCTCATACATTTTCCAGTAAATACTGTTGCCTGCCTATATTTTATTATTGATTTTTAATGATTATACATAATTTTCTTCAATTTAAGCGTGAAAAATATATAATAATAATAATAAATTAATGTTTTAATTGTTTTATAAATCCATATACTTTTATTAAAACTAACATATATACTTTTTATTTACGAATTCTATTAAAAATTGTATTTGTCAGTATAGGCAGAAATACTCCTTTAATACCAAAACAAATTGGCGCTGCTGTCGCGCACGGAGCGAATAGACTATAGAGCATTATATGTTCATTCTAGTTTTTAGTATTGTTAATTTTAAAACTCATTTGCGTGTTATATTAAAACTCACATATAAAAACACGGTTTAAAATTTTATTGTGTAGGTATAAAGTGTAATTTTCAGTGCCTACCAGAATAAGTATAAAAATTCAATTTTTTAATGTTGGTTTTAGATAAAATCTTTTATAAGTTAAATAGTTTCATAGACTTTAGTTACTTTTAGTGTATCTACCAGTCTGAAAATTAACACGAAAATTCCCACGAAAATTAATTACATATTTATAGCATTAAATTAAGGCTAATTTAATTATTGTTCAATAACATTTCGAATTAGTCCCATTTTAGTTTTATGTTAATTTACAAGGTGTTTTCACTATAGGCACTCCTAATTTATTCCGATATTTTATAGTTACATATATACCTGGAAGGTGCAAATATATTAATTACCGTAATATATTTTAATACATTTTAATATCCATAAAAAAATTTTATTTCCTTCTTTAATGACTTATTTAGATCTAAGCGTTTTATGTTTTCTATAAATTGTAATGATCGAGATTGCTGAAGGCGATTTTTAATAGAAAAATAGTTATTACATTATCTATTATTAGTTTGGATTCACTTTTATTTAATGTTTTATCTTAAGGTTAAATAGATTTAGTTCTAAAGTAAATATAAACCTTTAATAAATGACGATGGAGTAAATTTACTTTAACAAGGTTTTAACTATTTGAAACAAATTTTAAAATAGAGTAATAAATAATTTATTTATACGTTGGCAACTTAAATATCTCGAAAAATAAGGCGAGTGTCTAAATATTTTTGAAAATTGGCTATATTTTATTTTATTTCAATAAAAAATTGCAGTGTAATGTTCATATAAATCGCAAGATAAGGCAATAAAGAAATTAAAATAACATTTACCTTGTTTATTTAAATAGTATTTTTTTTAAAGTGACATTTTTTGTAATACATAATGTAAAATTAATAATCTCTTTACATTGTATAACAGTTGAAATTATACAAAAACGCATTTTTGGTAAATAAAAGGTAAATGTTATTTCAAATTTGATGTCAGTTATTAAAATCCTTGTGAACAATTGCAAGAAATTCTAGTAAAAATTAAATCTAACGTCATTTTAATCATTACCATTTTAAAATATTATACATTTTTTCATAAGTGTCATAATTTATACAATCACATTCTAGAATTTCTTGCAATATTATCATTAATTACCTATTTGTAAATATAGGTACTATTGTAATAGGACAAATAATGCATTTTTGTTATACTTACATATTTTTTCAGCTTTCTGTCACTAAAAGTAATATTCTCTTATGACTTTCAAATATTTTCTAAACAAATTACCTTCTTGTTGATTATTTATAAGAAAAATATAAAAATTTTGCTAAAATGTTGGGTGCATGTCAATTGATCTTAGGTTTAGCAGAAGAACATAATTTCAAATTATTGAAACTGATTTTTTTCATATTTATTTTAAGACAACTGAAACATATCTTCTATATCTGTTCTATTCTTCAAACTGACTACAAAATTAACATGCACCAAAAAAATTATTCTAAAAAGCGATAAATAAATTCGGTTAGTGCCTTTTCATGTGCAGCGAAAGATGATCAGACCGGCTGAATGATCTCTGACACAAATTGCAGCTGAAGGGCTTTTGTCCTGTGTGCTTCCTGTAATGCCTAGTCAGTTCGTCAGATCTGGCGAATTTCCAAGTACAACCTTCCCAAGAACATTGATACGGTTTTTCTCCTGAAAGTACAAAGAAAAAGTATACATTTATTTTGTTGATACATTTTTTATTGTATAGAGAAACGACCCCGCACAAATCTGATGGAAATTGGGTCCCGGTCAAATTCGCTGAATTTTTGATATGTGATAGAGTTTAGCATACTGGTCAATTGTCTCAATGGCCACAAAGCTAAAAAATTGATAGTTTGGCCGGCACAGAGCTTTAAAGCTCCGAATATCCTCCACGGATTTATGTATATGCGCAGTGTGTATAGACTTTTGAAATAGCCTATTTCATTTTTTTTATTATCTAGGTTTATATTTTTGAGGTTGCTGAATTCAGATCTGTTGTTAGATTTTCCAAATTGACAGTTGGCAGCTGTCAAATAGCTGTCAACAATTCTTCAAAGTCCGGTAATAAAGTAAAAAAAATATTTTTTGTTTATAACTTCAAGTTTTTTAGATAAGTGAATATAAATATGATATAAAATTATGTAGTCATCAACAAGCTGTCAACTAACTGTCAAAATCACATACTTTGATAACTATACGGTGCAAGAGAGAGGTCCGACACGCCCAACCACATACTTTGATTTTCTTTTACTATACGGAGAATGGTCGCACTGCGCAGCTTTCTGAGTGCCTTTTAAAAGGAGATAGAAAAGTCCGCCATTTTGATCCCTTACTACGTGTTGCCTACATCTTGGCGCAATATTTTTAATAGGTGCGTTTTAATCATCCGCTTCTGCTTCGGAATTGTTGGTTTTCTTGTTTTAATCTGACAGGTTAAAACGACTAAACCGACAATTCCGGAAGCAGAAGCGGATGACTAAAACTCACCTGATATTTTGCTTGCTGTTGTCAGTGTCAGTGAATATTATTTTTGGAGTCACAGTTTATTACTAAAGAATCAGTTAGCTCACTCGGACCATTTGAAAGTTTCAAAATAACATCCATTCCAGAGATACAAATTCAGGATGCGCAGAAGACTGCTGTTTTATTATAGGTGGTTGTCAAATATTGTATTATCCGAGTTGCGCAGTGTATAAACTGGAACATTGAGATCAAAAGTGCCGACGCAGAGTGAGCGATCCGATTCTTTAGCTATAAACTGTGGCATAGGAATCAAAATGGCCGCGCCCTATGTTGGGCGTGTCGGACCTCTCTCTTGCACCGTATGGTAATCAAAGTATGTATATATATTATTTTTAAAGGAATTATATCAACTATTATATTAATTATAAATATTTGTAACAAAATAATAGTTGTGTATTAATAAACATGTTGCCACTCCAAAAATATATTGTTTATTGATTATCAGGTATCAAAAATATGTGTACCTATAGAAATTTGTTGAAATATGTTCTATTGCTTATAATATTTTTAATAGGTTCTTATTATACAGGGTGTCCCAAATAAGAGTGATTGATTTTAAATGTAAATGCACAGCTTATTAATTGCTCTTCAATAATTGATTTCGTTTATCCTAAAGTTTTTTTTTCAAGTTTGTTCACATTTTATCACTACAGGGTAATCCATTAATTTTGGTCAACTTGAATGGAAAAAATATGTATTATTTTAAATGGAACACCCTGTATATTTTGATGGCATTCAAAAGAGATTCATCTACTTTTTAAAAATGTATAATTTGATATCTTTTGTTTTCTTAACAACACAGATTTTCGAGTTTTTAAGTAACACTGCTGTTTTCTTTATTTAAAAACTGACATTAAATAAAATTAACAAAAAGAATTTATTCAGTAACAAAACATAACAAAAATTTATTAAAAACTAGAAAACAAACATTTATAATGAAGATGTAAAAGTTACAATAAATGCTGTATATGTCTACCCTCTTGTTCAATGGACATACGCAAGCGAAATTTTAAATTTTCAAACAATTTTTCTAACATATCTGGCGGAATATTTTCGATAATGTTCCCAATGTTATCTTTTAGTTCTTCTACATTGTTAGGCTTAGGACTGTAGCATTTATCCTTCACATATCTCCAGAGCAAAAAATCTGGGACAGTTAGATCAGGAGATCGCGGTGACCACTCAATCGGCCCAGTTCGACCTATCCACTTTTGATTAAAAAAATTATTTAACGAATCTCGTGCTATCATTGAAAAATGAGGTGGTGCGCCATCTTGTTGAAAGTAAACGATGTCTCTAATTCCATCTTGAACTAATTGTGATGAATCTCTCTTTTGAATGCCATCAAAATATACAGGGTGTTCTATTTAAAATAATACATATTTTTTCCATTCAAGTTGACCAACATTAGTGGATCACCCTGTATTGATGTGATAAAATGTGAACAAACTTAAAAAAAAAACATTTGGATAAACGAAAGCAATTAGTGAAAACCCCATCTCTTTAGAGCAATTAATTAGCTGTGCATTTACATTTAAAATCGATCACTCTTACTTGGGACACCCTGTAGTTGTAAATAAAAATCAACACTGTTTATCCATCTATTTAACACTTACAAACATATACATATTTTAAGTTGTAAGGGTCCGAAGCCTCTTAATTTTTTACATTAGACACAAGACCTGCGATGTCACATTAAATCGTGAATATAAGGTAAAGGATTTGGGAGTTGTCTTTCAGTCTAATTTGACGTTAAATAACCAGTTCTGGCTTAGCATTAATTAATTATTTGTTTCTGTTAGTTTGTTCTATTACTTTATTAAATAAAGTGAGCCCGCCCCTGTGTAGATGTTCAATTTCCTAATGCAAAATGCTGTAGTTAAAAAAAATGAAGATGGTACCTAATTTGTGTAGAGTTTTAAAAGTACGGACCAAAATATTTGATTTTAATTTTGTAAATACTGATTTATAATAATGTAGTCGCCATTATAAAAATTTATTGTAAAAACATCAAGATGGTGCCATTAAATATTATTACATTATTTTATTTGTTGATCCACGTACTATTTAAATATGCAGTAACATTTATTAAAATCCGATATACAGGGTGATATTCTAGCTAAGAAGAGCAATATATAAAAAAACAGAGTCCGGTCCTGGAATTTTTTAAAATTAAATTATGTTTTTGATTGACCTAAGCGAGTGTAACTTTTGTACAAAATTTTATCAAAATAACTCTAGCCGTTCAAACAAAATGTCCGATTTTAGTTTTGGCAAAAAATCATAAAACACCATACATTACAAAAACGAGTAAGATTAACCTTCCGCCGATAACGTGAAAATTTTTAAAATTTTAGATAATGCGGTCTATCAAACCGACCTTTTCAAAAAATAAAAAAAAATGGAAATCAATTGCGGAAATAAAATGTTTCATTATAACATGAATATTTGCTCTATTATCTATGCTGGAATATAAAATGTATGAATTTTTTTGTTCTTTAAACAATTTAGGAGGTAATAGAAAAAAAATGTCATTTTTATAGACTGATTTTTATTCAAATTAAAATATTAAAAGAAAACTCAAATTTTTAGATAAACGAATGATTAACATAGTAGATAGGTAGTAAAATAATGAAAAAAAAAAAACAGTTTTATTCTCGAAAACCATATAGATTACTGGAATTATTACTAAACATTTTGGGCCTCATAATCTTCGTAACAAGCTTGGCAAAATCCAGTAAGGTGCTCCAGACACAAATATTTCTTACACTTTCTGTAAGTATATTTTGTTCTTCTACTTTTTTTGTGCTACAATATGTACAGCGTCCATAAATTCTCTTTTCAGGAGCAATATTTTCAGTTTCTATTCCACATATTTCAGCAAGCCGCAAACGAATTGTCCTAGGAATGTTTTGCTGTTGAGCTCGTCGGCGAATATGTTCATCAAGCAACTGAAATCCTAGATTTTCTAAAAATCTTCTTTTATCGATTTTTGTTTGAGTATTGCTATTATAAACTATATAGCTATTTATTCCAGCGACGTTCATAGCACTATAAACAATGACCACTGGCCAACGACGAGTTGCACGAGCGCAATTGTAGGCTTCACACATTTTGTCAACAACGTCGACACCTCCTTTCGTTTGGTTATAATCAATAATTATTTCTGGTTTGCCAGTTTACCTATCAATAGCAGCATCGTAATGCATTGTCGATAGTAATAGGACATTTTTGTTTTTTTGGACAGTACGAAACGAGTGTACACTTGTCTCTAAAAGCAAACATAACTGATTTTTCTGCTCTTGGCAACAACATTGCTGGAGGTATATCAGGTTTGTTTTTGCGTAAAGTTCCAATAGTAGTAAGGCGGTGTTGCCTTAGAAGCATCTCTGACATACCCAGGCTATTGAAAAAGTTGTCCATTGTAACATTTCTATTTGATAGCAGGATTGGTGAACAAAGACGAGGTACTAATGCTAAATTCGAAGTATCATTCTGATAGGGTCCAGCAGGCTGTTTTCCTAGGTAGACCTCCAAATTTGCGGTGTAAAACATTTTGGCGTCTACCAAGGCATATATTTTTATTCCGTAACGATTAGGCTTCGATGGCATATAAACTTTGAACGGACATTTGCCTCGGAAAGCTTCAAGTTTTTCGTCTATGGTTGTGTATGCAGACATATTATAGTGTTTAGGTAAATTAGATACAAACTCGTCGTAAATTTCCCTAATCGGGGCTAATTTGTCTAATTTCACCCTTTTTTTTCTGGTGGTTTTATCGTCGAAACGAATATGTTTTAACAAAAATTTAAATCTTATGTGGGACATAGTAAGCCAGGAGATATCCATGGACATTCCATTCGTCCGAAATAAATCTTCAGCGTTTCGTCGGTTATCTCTGCTAGCACCACAAATATATAACAACCCCAATAATGCTTTAATTTCTAATAAATCAGTGGGTCTATAAGATCTATTTTGCGATACATCATAAGCTTGCGTTTCTATAAATTTGTTAGTGTAAGTAACAATTTTCTCTAACATATTCATAGAAAAATAGCATTCCCATATTTCTGAAGCTTTATTTTTGTTCCGGATAACTCCTTTAGGACCTGGTAAATGGGCGACAATATTTTCGGCACGTGTTC